AAATGTGAGGACAGTCGTAAGTTTGAGGACTGGTCAAAAGTGCGAGGACCAGTCAAAAATAACTTTTTCAGCCCTCTGAGTAGTCCATATGCACAAAAGGATTCAATTATTTCTTCAAAGTGCTGATGATTGCACCCTGGCTGGAAGAACTCCAACAGGGGAGTATTTCCTCCCAACAGTGGTGTAAAAAGCTTAAAACAACCCTTCCCCTTTAAGAAAGTCAAGCAAAAAAACAGCCTCCAGAACCGGAAGTGACAGTAAGTCTAGACATACTGCCGGAGAGGCAGTTTCTGTAATAAAGATTAGGCTAGGAAACAACACCAAATGTTGTAATTAATCCTTACAGGATTAACCCTGTAAAGTGGGAAAAAACAAAAGGAGATTTCTTTTAACAATCGATTCTCCAAACTGCTTAACTACTTAACTACTTAACAACCGGTTCTACGGAAGTAGAATCCCACCACTGGATCTACCCATTTATTTTTGCAGGCACCGGTCTACTCATTTGTTTTCTTTTAACACTGATCAGCTGTAGGGCGGCCCTTTGAAGCCCTGCGGCAAGAGTTTAAACAATTTTTTTCCCTCTAGCCATCAGCTGGGACTCAGGAGGCAGCAATAGATTGGGGGTGGGGCCAAATAAAAGGTAAGAATAACCCGGGAGGGGGTAGGGGGTGGGGGGGCAGAACCAGTTTGGTGACATCATATCGTCACAACTACTGGCTCAGCCGAACCGGGAGGAACCCACCACTGCCCTAACCAAAGGAAATGGGGACCAGCTGTGCATGCGTTTAAATATTTTCAAGGAGGGCTTATTTGGGGGGGGGGCTTATTTTAGCACATGCACTCAAAAGCCTGATGGGGCTTATTATCAGGGGATGTCTTATTTTCAAGGAAAGAGGGTATCTGCCTCTCTCATTAGTTTTTTTTTTTTTTAATTTGATTTATATGCTGCCCTTCTCCAGAGACTCAGGGCAGCTTACAATGCGTTAAGCAATAGCCTTCATACTTTTGTATATTCATACAAAGTCAGTTTATTGTCCCCACAAACTGGGTCCTCATTTAACCTACCTTAGAAAGGATGGAAGGCTGAGTCAACCTTGAGCCTGGTAAGATTCGAACCTGCAGTAATTGCAGGCAGCTGTGTTAATAACAGGGTGCTTTAGACCACTGTGCTACCAAGGCTCTTGAAAAGTTCAGATAAAGTAGGCATGGTCCAGGTCTTTTCTCTTGTTTCCATAAGAGCTGTGGTGGCATAGAGTTAGAATGCAGTACTGCAGGCTACTTCTGCTGACTGCCGACTGCCAGCAGTTCGATTCTCACTGGGCCAAGGTTGATTTAGCCTTCCATCCTTCCAAGGTTGGTAAAATGAGGACTGATTGTTGGGGGCAATATACGGACCCTGTAAACTACTTAGAGAGGGCTGTAAAGCACTGTGAAGTAGTATGTAAGTCTATTGCTATCTTGCAAGAATTAGAAAGTCTGCCTTTTCTGTCACAGCCTCTGTCCTATGGAACACTTTCCCCTTTGAAAGCCTACCTTTTTAACCATCCAGAAAGCACTCAAGAGCTGGTTTTTCCATCAATCATTGGGATAGGGTGAAGTCAAAGTTGGATACTATTGTGAGCTGCACTGTGGAAGTTTGATTGTGGTGCCAGGTTCTTCTGTTGCTAGATTTATTTTTGTTTTCTGTTTTTACTATTTAATTATATTATATTATGCTTTGGTTGTGAGCCTTCCAAACTTTGGCTTTAGGATGGTAGACATATACATATTTTAATTAACTAATTAAAAGTACATAATTTTAAAATTAGTTGAAAGTATCATTGAGGCCAACTGAGATTTAAGACAAGTGCAGACATGCATCTGAAAAAGCAGAATACTAGTAGTTAAAATATTGATACTGACATTCCCTAGGTATTATTTCTTTTCCCTCATCACTTTCCATCAGTTGTATCTGAAATATTTAAAATCAGTATAGGATTTATTTTATTAGTTCTGAGACATTTTTTCTTGGATAAATGTAGATAAGTATGATTTTCCTAATGAAGAATGGCAGAAAACATATATGCTGTCTTTCCCCAATCATATACCCATAATTAGATGTATAAAGAACACAATATTTAATAGAAAATAATAACTGCTAAATATCCATTAAGAATCATATGAAATCATCAATTTTAAGACAAAGATAAGTAGGATACCCACATTTTCACAGCAAGTACTTGTTTTTGGGTAAGGGTAAATAGGATAAAAATTGTTCCATCTACAGCAACTTACTAGACTTATATTAAAAAAATATATAAGTCTCTTAGTAACTCCAGCAGAGCCAGTGAAAATGGCTGCTGGGAACTATAGTTCACCAACATCTGGTGTTTTTCATTGACTATCCAAGTGCTTCTCAAACTTAGAAACTGTAAGATCTGTGGACTTCAATTCACAAAATTCTCCAGCAAGGCGAATTCTGGGAGGTGAAGTTCACATTTTCAAGCTGCCAAAGTTGAAAAATAACAGACTACTCCGTTATTTGAAAATATATACATGAAACAGATTACTAAAAAAAATGCTGGTCAGTTTTCTTTGGATAAATATAAGTTTTACATAAATACATGCTTGCCAATACTGATTCATTAGCATCTTGGGTCATAACCCGGTTCGCGCCCATAGGGAGGGCGTGTTCAGGGTGCCGTCGGCGAGACAATGTCAGCTGGCGGCCCCCAGGGGTAGACCCTTCTCTGTGGGCGCGCCCACCCTCTTCCCTTGGGGCTTCGGCTGGCCTCTGACCTTCGCACCTTTCGCGGCGAATTAAAAATTTGGTTATTCGAGTCCCCTGGCCTGGACTGATGGGGTTTTTTACGGGTTTTTAATTGCATCTGATTCAATTAGGCATTTTAACTTGTATTATGGATTGTGGTGTTATTGTTGTGAGCCGTCCTGAGTCGGTTGGAGATAGGGCGGCATATAAGACTAATAAAATAAATAAATAAATAATAAAAGCAATCAGTTTATACAAATGTTATTCTTCTAAAAATATTCTTATTGCAATACTGCTGAATGTGAAAGTTCCAAGTTTATTTTTGCAATCTGAGATACAGGTAATCCTTGACTAACAACTATGGTTGGGACTGGAATTGCCCTCATAATTTGGGGGAAAATGATAAAATAAGTCATAATTTTTGCCATGGTTGTTAAGTGAATCCATGGTTAAGCAAATCCCATGATTGTTAAGCAAATCCAGTTTACCCAATGGATTTATTTTGCCAGAAACCGGCAAAAAAGTTTGTAAATTATGATTATGTGACTGCAGGACATTGCAACCAATTATATACGTGAATCAATTTTCAAGCACCCAAATTGCGATCATGTGATCACAGAGGTGACATGATGTTCATAAGTGTGAGTACAGGACGCAAAGCACTTTTTTCAAGGCTGTTGGAAATTTTGAATCATCGTTAAACAAAGAGACATAAATCAAGGACTGCTTGTACAGTTGTTGAGCTTCTGGTAAACTAAAACAAAAAGAAACATGTATTTCTTTTCATAAAATATGCCCTTTTAGGAAACTGAAGTTGTTTTGTTCAGATAGGCTTAATAAATAAAGCAGGTCTATAGAAGTACCTAGAGAAAAACAAATTCAGATAATTTTTATTGAAAATATTAAGTGCTATGAACATAATGACTAGTTTCCCCTATCAGGCTATATCATAAAGTAATTTGCTTGGTATTGGCATTGTTCAGGGGTCAGCAACCTTAAACACTCAAAAGAAATTCGTAAAATCTCTGATCTCCGTGTGTTCCGCTGTGCCCTCAAAACCATGTTGTTCCGCCAGGCTGGGCTATCAATCTAAAGATTTTTAATTGGTTTTAAATGGGATTTTAAATTTGGGGTTTTACAAATTGGGCCTATTATTTAATAATTTTAATTATTTTTAAATTTTGTCTGTCTTTGTGTTTTTAATTAGGCTGTACACCACCCTAAGTCCTTTGGGAGAAGGGCGGTATAGAAATAAAATAAATAAGTAATAAATAAATAAAGAGCCAGTTTCCTACAGAAAACACCAGGAGCCACAAAATTGTCCACCTGCACCAAACCAAAAATGCTGTCTGCTTTTGTGTGCCATCCTTTTATCACGTGTACTTGAGGATTAATGTGATTTTTGCTCCTGAACCTCAGCGCACAGCATCTGCACATCAGGGCTATGTCACCTTCACCTTCACACAGGATTGTAAGATGTCGTTTGTGAGGTGTGAGCGATGTTTGTTTTTAATATAGTTCATGTTGAAGAAGACCTGCTCACATCCGTATATAGACTGACAGACTCCAAATGCATACTTTCTCATGTTCATATAAGTGTTGGGGGTGGCATTCCATGTTTCGAACACAAGTTTGTCCGATTTGGGGAAGTTTTCAATATCACAATTCTGAGCAAGAATGGCCTTCTGACAAGCAACATCTTCAAGATTAGCTGTCAAGCATTTGAACTTGGACAACCATATATCTTTGTCAACTATGTCGGCCAGTTCCATCTCAAGATAGGGTTGACTTACACCTGCAAATGTAGTCATATCCAATAGGGATGGATTGATGGTCAGGGGAGTGACAGGGAAAGATAATGTGTTTTTTTCCCTCTCTGAAGTCAGAGAATTGTTTCCCAAATGATGTTTTCATTGTGGTGATTGCAGACTGCAAATACTCAGAATTTATAATATTTAAGCTTGTTTGAACTCTCATAAAGGGGAAGTGAGACAGTGTACCTCTCTGTAAATCTCTGGCAAGCACTGTGAACTTGTGCTCAAATGCCAAAACCTCCTTCAGCATGTGCAGGGCTGTGCCTCCTTTCCCCTGAAAACTTGTGTTCAGTGCAGCAGAGGGATGAAAGAGCCACATGCGGCTCGAGAGCGGCGGATTGCCAACCCCTGGCATAGTTGCACAAAATGTGCTCATTTGGCTTAGTTGATATATGAATCCATCTTTTAAAATATACTTATCAGTGGGATGATAAGGAGTTTTCCACAACGACGATAATGATTTATTAAATTTGTATGCCATCCAACTCAATGTCTTTCAAATTACATATAGAACAAAAGAGTTTGAAATGTGCAGTTAATTTTAAAAGAGAAGGTTTTTAAGATTCCATGTCTATACTGTCACCCAGTATAACTTCATAAATTTACTACAATTCATTTATTTTGATTTAGAACTTACCCAACTTCCAAAGAACTCTGGGAGGCTCATAACATAACAATAAATAAAAGTACAATAAACTTTTTAGGAAACACATAAAGAGACAAGTGCTGCAAAAGGAATGGCAATTCAGTATTCTGAAGAAAATCTTTGACATCTTAAAATAATGTAGATTGGCTGCAGATTGTCAAAAGAAGTCATTATACTGCTAAAGAAAGAGGAATACTTTTGTTGTTTCACTGCATAACCTGTTTTTGGAAAGAACAGTATTCCTTTGCTTTTTATACCTTAATCATCGCAATATGTCTACATGTGCAACATTTTTTTGTTCCATTCAGTTGTGTCCAATTCTTGGAGTTTGCCTGAACAAGTCCTTGAAATTTTCAATTTAGCAACATTGTTCTGACAAAGAATCAAAAGTGTATTATCAATACTCATCAATAACTATGGAGATATATAGTCTATCAGAGGTAACAATTTGTAGCCTTCATGTGCCTACAATCCAAATAATACAGCTCAAATGTTTGTTTAGAAAGTCAGAAGTATCATTACATTTTCAAAGGTTTCCTGCTTTATTCATGTAGTTATTTTATCAGATGTATATGGCCACTCATCTTACACAAGATGACTTCATCAGGGCTTCTTACCATATCAACATGTGTTGATAACAAAGATTAAATATCTTTATATATAGGAAGTGTGTAACCTCTTAGAAGAAAATATGCAAGATACAGAATAAACAAAATCTTAAATATCTGCTCCAAGCTCAGCACACTGTTTGTCTGATATGTGATTTGCTAATGATTCTATGATGTCAAGTAGAAGAGGTTGACTGAGAGACCGAAGATTTGGTAGCTTGGATACCTTCAAGAAAGGGAAAATGGTTTGTTATTACTATGAATCCAGTAATATGTTTGTACAAATTAATATTTTATTTCTTCAAGTGAACATAATGAATCTAATCTTAAAACAGAAAACTAATGTAATGGAACATGTTTTACTTTCCATAAAACAAGCAAGTTTAGCAATAATTAGAAGAAACAATCAACATTTAAGATTTTCTATTCCTTTGTTCTAGAGCTCTCATGTCTGCATAATTATGCAAGATGTAGCTTTTGAAAACTAGTGATGAGATTCTCAAAAAATCAATAGAAAAGACATTTAAACAATGGCTTTTAACAGATGGAATCTTAAAATATTAACATTTTTATAGTGTTGTAAAAAATTAAATAATTTTAAAAATGGCTAAATACAATCTCCAAAGCCAATTTCTAATTTTAAAAGGTTTTTTTATAGTGGAAATATAGTTTGGATTTAATTGGAAAATTTCTTGGTGACTTCCCAAATATCATTCAATCTGCATATTACAGAATGTTTTTACAAGTGTAGCCTTGTAGAACCGCATTGCAACCAACCTGAAAAGAAAAAGTAATAATAAATATATCTGTGGCTTCCAATTGATCCTATTGGAATGTTGTATCTTTCTTTAGTCCTATTAGACTTGTGCTGTGTATTTTGAATTATTTTCCTTCTGATCATGTAACGCAACTATGCTATATAATAACCATTACATTTCAAGGTCAATTTTTATACATTGCATAGCTGGACAAAGATAGGACGAGCTGTTATTAATGAAACATAGGAGCTCTTCTTATCTTTGTCCAGCTATGCAATATATAAAAATTGACCTTGAAATATAATGGTTATGATATTGCATAGATGCGTTATGCTACTGGGAGAGCTGCTATTAATGAAACATAAGGGGCCGCAGTGGTGCAGCATCTTAAATACATGGATTTGTCAGACAGAGAGGGCCAGCACTACAGCAGTTCAAGCCCACAGGACCACCTGGCAGAGTGAGGTCCCATCATTTGCTTCTAGCTTCTGCCAACTTAACAGTTTGAAAGCATGTAAAAATGCAAGAAGATAAATAGGTACCACTTTGGTGGGAAAAACTAGCAGTGTTTCATCCTGAAGCCAGCACCAGACTTGTCCAAATGTGAGGCAAGATTGGCAGAAGAAAACCCAGATGACCCAACACCCCCCCCCCAACACTGCTAGCCAGCTGGCATAAAGCTGGTTCTCCCCCGTGTGGTGAATCATGGATAGCGCACATACATGAACAAATGAACAATCTTAGGCTACCGAACTACTCTGTGGTTAAAAAGCACTGTAGACTTCCCTGGTGTGTGCCAAACAAAACAGAACAGAACAGAACAGAACAGAACAAAACAAAACAAAACAAAACACTCTTCTTGGATTCTCTAAAATTAATTTCACACTTGTAAACAATGTAAATGTAATATATAATTTAATTATAACACTACCATCTTAATTGTAGGAAACATGACTCCTATAAATAATTAGATATAAATATTATACACATACATACATTTATATGTATCAATACGTTACCGATACTAACAGAAGAACAAAGAACAGGAAACATTTAAAGGGAGACAATGGGTGAGGAACACTGAAAGTTAATCAAGGCAGATTAAAAATGCATAGCAAACAATCCAAAGGGAGCAACAAGAATGAAACTGAGGACTACCTTAAGCTGTTTTCAACCATGGCAGTGAAAGAGGACAGCAGATGCCCAGTACCCCAGAAAACATCCAACCAACCTTGGTGAACTGGTGAACAATGATATATAGGCAGTGTCTCTTCATGTCCAATGCCTGGGTCCTATCAGCTGCCTCTAAAATCTGAAGAAAAAAAAACAAGTTTCTTGCATCAAAAAGACTCTATAAACTTGAATGTTAGGGCTGTGCAGATGAAAAATGTAATTTGTAGCATACATCTGTAATGAACATCTTAAACTATCAATACTTTTGAGAGCAGAAGTTGTGGAGGTTAGCCAATTAAATGTCAAGAAAAGGCATGGTAGCTCTAAAATACAGGTAGTCCTCAAGATATGACTGTAATAAAGCCTGCTCATCACAGTCATATGTCACAGTGGCTGTTAAATAAAGAATTTCAGCTAACAACCGCAAGCATTAACTGTGCTAATATTAATGCTGAGAGAGCTAAAGCCAGTGTCTAATGAAGAAAAAAACCCCAGTGTTTTGCTAGTCTTATTTTTTGCTGAGAAAATATCGACTTGCAGAAATGTGTTGTGTGGCCCAGCAATGGTACAGCCTCCTTCCCTACCCCAACCTCCTGAGCTCTAGAGATCTTTGAAAGGTGACTAATGAGTGATGGGGTGGGGAGAAATGTGGAATCCAATGCGTTGCAAAGCAGGCACAGTGCCTGTTGGGACCCAGCAGGGCAGAATCGGGGCAGAGCGGAAATAAGTGGTGGAGCGGCATACTGCAGCATCTCTGTTGTTGGTGGTAAAAGAGCGAATGAGTGTAGGGGTGGTATAGTGATGTAACTTTGGGACTGGGTCATACGTATCTTTGAGGTGATCTTTCCTAACTTTGAATGGTTGCTAGGTGACCAGTCATAACTAAAGAACTACCTGTATTTCCAACAAATGTGCTTATAGACACTCTCCAAACCACATTTGGTTTCCTTTCAAACCAAATCTCTTTGCAGCCCTAAATATACATATGAATAGACTTCGCTGAAGATTAACTTTCTAGAGCTTCATAAAAGCATTGCAGCAGATAGTTAATGTGCACCATTTTGCATGGCATGGCTTAATTTAATGACATATCAGCTTTACACTATTGGGGAAATATATGATGGCTCTGGCCTTCCAGGAATTCTTCAGAGCATGGGGACATTTAGATACAGAGATTTGTCCTATATAATCTGAAATCATCTGGTAGTTTGCCAATTGGCCGTTTTCCTTGATTTGAAATTATTCATATGAATGAAAGAGGACTCTAATATTATAACCTGCACAATGTATAACTTACCTTCCATTCTTACATAAAACCAGTAAAGTAAACTTTATCATCTTTGTTTTAAAATATGTTAAGGATTTGTATATTACAAGTTTTGTAATATATTTTTTGTAATCAATAATTACAAAAAGGGAATTCACTGCACTCTACACTGACCATAGAGATAGGTAGACCATAGAGAGAGATAAACCACAGGAACTAATCAGAAAATCAGTCTAATCCTGCAAACTGTGCAGTACTTATTTTTAGAACTTTCAATTGATTATTCTATGAAAAAAAAAGAAATAATTACAATTAGTTCCAAATTGATTCATTAGTAGCAATTACCTGAAGCACATTTTCCACAGTAACATTCATTTCCAGATTCTGCTTGCAATATGCTTGAAGACGATTATTATAGAACCCATAATAATAAGGGGCAGCAAAGAGGTAGCTAAAAAAAAACAGTTAAAGAGAATTCGTGTTTCATGTTGTAAGGATGCAAGTACAATAAACCGAAACGAAATAGCAATAAGGACAAACAAAGGTTTGACCTCTGCTTATATTCTCTCTAGTGTGTTATTGTTATAATTGCAGCTGGCTGCCTTCTTGAAAATTGTCTTTGGCTCTGGGCCATGCACATTGCTGTCTTTTCAGCTATATTATATGTGCAGCAGCTGTTTCCCAATTCTCCGTGAACTCAAATACACAGAAAGGAGCTGGCGTAAGCAAAATAAAGACCTAGAATTGATGTATTAGTAGAGGATTATTTCTTATGATGAGCCACCAACAATCTATTTCCTTGCCTGAGGAACTCTAATCTGAATAGTGGAAAATTAGTGGACTAGTTCTAGATCTGACTGTGATGTTCCTTCTATTTTCAGTAGGAATCAGAACATACTAGATTTTCAGGAGACAAAGAGCTTCTCCAGGAAGGAGAACAATGAAAATATGGAGGCTCCATTTCCTTCCTGCAAAGATTGAGTATTTTAAAGCTATCAAGTCAGATTTCCAGCCTTAGTAGACTAGGGACAACTTGACAGGAAAAATGATCCTGTTATGTTAACTTTGGAGTTAACATTCATAAAACAGGTTCTCTCTAGTAAGCATTTATTTTTCCTCTTCTCTTCTATCCTACAAGACTCACTGAAGCCCTATCCAGGATATTTATTACCAAATAATTATAAGCTAATTTATATATAATTCTGCACCCAGAATTGTACAAAATGAGCCACAGGCTAGTCTCTTAAGCCTTGGGTACAATCCCCAGAGATTTTAAAGTTGCAATTTTGAATGTAATAGAAGGGGGAAATAGTGAAAAAAAAAATCTGGAGATTATTAAGTTACCTGTAATTAATGTGGGTTTTGTTGTGGCACCACTCATTTTGGTTTGTGGTCCCTGGCACATCATGGAAAGTATGTGCCCTCAGCTAGAAAACACTGAGCATCTCTGTTGTAATACTTAACATGAGTAAAATATTAAACCAGATAAAGGATACAGTGAATCTTCAGGAGGCATATTCACTTCACCATAATAAATATATCGTAACATAGATTCAAATGCTTGTTTGCTTGGCACCATCTCACCAATTGAAATATTAACTTGGCCATCTTCTGGCATAAAAGAACGAAACATGGCTTCAAAGTAACTGGAGAAAAAAGGAAGAAACTGGTTGAATCATAGTTGATTCCATACTTTCCTTGTTCTCATAAATTGTGTCACTGGTTGGTTGTTCAACAAACAAAATAAAGAGTAGAGAATGAAATGCTGGAGCATTTTTAAATGCCTTTTAAAAATTTTGTTTATCAAATGCAACCCATTTATAGTGTTTTTAAACTTACACATTGTGCAAAGATTTTATACAATATTATTTATACTGCCTCTCTGGGGGAGATGGGAAGTTCAGAAAAATGAATGGAAGGATGAATAAATAAATAATAAATTTAAATAAATAAATAAAATTATTCAACATTTCTTATCAAACATTTCTATTCTGCACTGCATTTTTAATGTATGGTACAGGAGGGCAGTCTATATATATATATATATATATATAAAAAAAAATAAAATCAATAAAAGTTCTACATTCAAAATATTGAAGTCTCCTTTTGTTCAGATATTAATTTCTGTATGTGCAAGAAAAGAAAAGTAACTGGGAGGCATGCAAGCTTGGGCCTAATTTTTATCTTACAAAAAAGAAGTCAAAATAAGAAGTTATAGTCTAACATCTGTATAATTTTATATCATGGATTACTTAAATGTAAAACATACCTAGAGCGGGCTGCAAGAATAGCTTTATGAGCTGGTCTTGGATGACCATCTAACAGTAGAATGATATCACAGAATTCTAAACCAGCACCTTCCAAATAGGCTTTCATATCCTGAATCAACGAGGTTCCTGCACACACAAGAACATAAAGGTTTGCCCGAGATGTTGAAAACCATTGATTTAGTTATATCAGAACAGCTAGAAGTGGCTTGCAATTATGTATCCACTTTTTCAGTGCAATGCAATGCCATCAAGAGGAATTTCATAATATTTGATCATCTAAGGTACCAAATTCCCCAAGTCAAGTTACTGACTATAGACATGTCCATGTTTTCTTGGCAACAATGTAAAACTGATTTGCAATTGCCTTCTACCGGGAAGATTTTTTTCAGTTTCCCTGTCTCTCACACAACCTGAATCGTTTTTTTAAAGCCGAAGTAAGCTACAAGGTATTATTGTATTCTTTTTAAATTCTGAGATGACGAATTGATTAGCTAAGCAAATAGTTAACAGATACAAATTACTGCACAGTCGAGTTATAAAGCGGAACACCAGAAATCTAATACCTGGGGGAAGTTTGAAGATTTTTAATTGGCAAAATATTAATTATTTCTCATAGGGGTAAGCTTTTTTTCATCCCAAGCAAACTGATCATAATCAGCAGTGTCAGAGATTAGCACATATACTTGGAAAATACAATTGGAGATGTGAAAAACACATCTGCATTTTTTTCCTCCTATAGAACAACCAAAGGATTATCATTATCACCCTGCAAAATACTGTGGTTTAAATTTAAAAAGGACACAGTATCAGTTTTAGCAATAAGAGGCAGTTAGACAAGTTACATCCATGTAAGTACTACTAACAGGTATTCCTCAACCCATTACCATTTTTTAACGACAGTTTGAAATTTTGATGGCACTGAAAAAAGCCAGTTATGTCCACAAATACAGTCACATGATTGCAATTCAGGCACTTGGCAAAAGCAACTCACAATTACAGCAGTTGCAGTGTTTTGCAGTCATCTGATTTTTATTTTTTATTTTTTTTAAATTTGATTTATATGCCGCCCTTCTCTGGAGACTCAGGGTGGCTTACAATGCGTTAAGCAATAGCCTTCATACTTTTGTATATTTATACAAAGTCAGCTTATTGCCCCCACAAACTGGGTCCTCATTTCACCTACCTTAGAAAGGATGGAAGGCTGAGTCATCCTTGAGCCTTGGAGAGATTCGAACCAGCAGTAAATTGCAGGCAGCTGTGTTAATAACAGGGTGCGTAGACCACTGTACTATCAAGGCTCTGATTGCCACTTGCAACCTTCCCAGCTGGCTTCTGACAAGCAAACTCAATGGGGGAAGCCAGATTCGCTTTACAACTGCATGATTCATTTACCAGCCCCATGATTTGCTTAATAACTGAGGTAACGTAAAATCATATCTGGTCACATGATGACTCACTTAATGACTACATAGAGACCAAAATTTTGATGTCAATTGTCATAAGTGGAGGACTACCTGTAGTATATAATGAATGTTCTTTTAGCTTGCACTTTGTAGAACACCTGTACTGTAATTCAGCTCGTTTATCTGAGACAGTAATGGGAGGTTAAAATGAATATATCTTTCTCCAAATATTATCCTTTATTGGATAGGCATCATTAAGATCTGGAATCATCCATCCCACTTCCCCACCTACAAAATTATATAGAATCTTACTTATGATTTCAAATTCATTTTATTTCAAATTCATTTTATTTATGGATTTTAATTCTATCTTGTACTCTAGACTTCTATAATTTATACACAGACTGTAGCGTGAAAACAACAGATGGAAGGTACATTACCAATATCAAGAGGCTGATCAGAATGTGTTCGAAATGGAGGTTGCTGCTTTCTTCGTACTATCTCTACTATCAAAGATGAAGAAAGATGTTCAAATTCTTTCATCATTATTACCTGATTAAAGTGTGATTCTTTTACCACAAAATTCAGACAGTGTTCCTAAAAAAAAGAAGCATATGTATGCAAATGGGTACATATACATAGCCCCCACGTTGTAAGAAAATAATATTTGGAACATTTTTTCTACAATTTCAAAAAATTGTAGAAAAATTCTACAATATAATAGAGTTTAAATGGTTTTGCAAGCATTACAGTTAACGCTACGAATATGCAATATTTATAGAAGCTAATTCTGAAAGATTCAAATTCAGAAATTACATCGCCAGTTTATTTTTCTTCCTTTGATTCTTGCCAAAGTTCTTTAGCAGAGTCTCTCTAAATCAAGAAAATATTGGCTTGCACATACCATCTCCTATAGTTGCAACATGTACTTTTCTATTTTATTTAACCTATGGGATCAGGTCCATTTACCTTTTATTTCCCAATAAAGCTGACATCATCCTTAAACAATTCAAGTTTGCACAGTTTATTGATACATGAACAATGGAAAAAAGCTGAAACATATGCAAGAATGAATGGTTTCATTCAAGAAAAGTACTTGAAAATTGATTAACTGGTAGCAGAATTTTCAAGTTAGTTTAAAATGAAAGAGTTTTATATATGAAAATTCATTAATTCTACATACACACACACACTAAATATTTAGTATTGACTAGCTGGACAAGTCCCTGCAGTTTTCTTTAGGAAGAGTTTGGAAGTGTTTTGCCTTTGCCTACTTCCTAACCCTAACAGACAGTGACTGACCTATGGTCATGCTGCTGGCTTTGTGCCCAAGGCAGGATTAGAATTCACAAATTCCTGATTTCTAGCTTGTGCTTAGACTTGGCTACAATTTTCCAAAAAAAACCTACCTTCAGCTGATCCAGCTGAAGTTTGTTTGCATTTTCACATACAACAAGTACATTCTGCAGATCTACCGAGGCCTCAATGTATTGGACACAGAGTTGTTCCAATCGAGATAGTTTGAAGTTAAGAGCCAACTTGTACACATCCATGATTAGCAGAACATCTTGCACATGTCCTAAGTAACAATAACAAAGAACCCCAATTAATTGCACATACTGCAAACAATGTGACAGGTGAGAAAGCAGGCAGGAAAGAGAATTATCTGATTCCCAATATTAATATTGTAATAATGAATCTCTAAAGACCCATATTAAAATGCTATTAAAGCATGTACATTCCTTTGTGTTAAGAAATGCAATACAGAGTACAGTAAAACACAAAAAGATGAAAACTTTGTGATGTAAGATGAGTTATCTGTATCACCCTGAGTATAGGTGGACCTCGACCTATGACTGTAATGGAGTGTGCCCATTACAAAAATAAGTTTTGGCAGTCATTAATACCCACATAATTGCCTTACTGAATTACCACAATCCCTGCATACCCTGATTCGGTCATTAAATGACAATGCAGGTTATTAGTGTAGCGCAGGGTACCTCGTGGGTTGGTGGAGGCCCTAAAGGCCAGGTACAAGCCAGGTCTGCACTGCAGCACTTTACTGTGGTCTCCCTAAACTCCTTTTAGATTTTTGGCTCCCTCTTGTCTCTGGGAATTGGTTGAAAGAGCTGCCTGCTAAAGAATTTCAGCTCCTCTCTGGCATTGGAAAGGAACTCCTTCAGCTCTGTTCCTGCACCCCACTGAAGGAGTTCAGCTTTTCTCGATAGGCAGCTCTTTCAGCCAACCCCCAGTAGAGAAGACTGCAGGTGGTAATCACATGATCATATGGAGTTTGGCAACTAATTGTTAGTCCAAAGACGTTGTCAAGGATCCTGATTGTGATCATATGACTGTGGGGATAAGGGTGCAACATTTTGCAACATCTGGAAGTGCTTTGTGGGTCATAAAGAATAGAATATAATTTTTTATTGGCCAAGTGTGATTGGACACACAAAGAATTTGTCTTGGTGCATATGCTCTCAGTGTATATAAAAGAAAAGATACGTTCATTATAAAGCATCCTTTCTGAGGCTGTTGTAATTCTGGATCGCCATTAAACAAGTGGTTATAAATGAAACACTATCTTTATTCTGACAAGTAGTAGTTCTCCAGATTCATGGTTACAAAAAAGGCCTTGCAAGATGAACCTTTAAGCTGGACTGTTCCTTGCTTAATTTAGAACACCAGCCTATAAAGTGCATGTTCTAGCATTGCATATGGGCTTTTAAAAATTATAATTTAAAAATCTAATCACAAAAATTCTGCTCTGTAAGTAGGCTATTTGCTTGGGGGACACAAAAAGGGAGGGATAATACAGTGATAAAATAACTACTTTGTTCAAGCCTTTATCTAAACTGGCTTCTCCTGTTCAAGAGTGTAATACAGAAAAGCATCTGGCTTATTATCTCCTTGAAAGACATTTCCCTCTCTCTTTTTTTCCTTTTTCTTCTTATTGGTATTCCATCTCCCTTTAAGCTCAAAGGCACAAATTCTCAACGCACCTCAGCTGAGAATTCATAGCCTCAATATTCAGCCTGCTGCTGGAGGTTCTTAAATTTTTTATTTTTATTTTTATTCTTTATTTTTTTAAAGAACCTTAAGAATTTAAGGTTCTTACATATTTCCTACAAATATTTCTTATAATGTTAGGCAAAGGCATCTTTCACTGGAAAAGCTATTACCCGATTGCTAAGGATTTCTAATGCACATTTGTTCAGAGTTTCATAAATCATGTTGGGAACACGTCATCAGAAGCACAGCCATCTTCTGGCAAAACACAGGCAAAACCATATTGAAATTTGCTGCAGAGGGTGATCACCTGAAATTTGCTTTTGGTAAGCCTCTGGCACCAGTCATGTTTATTTTTTTCCTTTCTTAGAAAGACAAATTCCAGAAAAAGTCAGAGAAAACATGTACTACATTTCCTAGGAATCAATTCTACTATTCTACCTTTGCGTGGGTATTTGATTTTGTCTGTGTAGAGGAACTGCATGAGCACTTCAAAGGGCTGAGCTTCAGCTTCCCGGATTGTCACTTCCAGCAGCGGCTGCGGGCGACCCATCTTTACATTGTTGCCTGCCGTTTCCTTTTGGGACACCTCTTGTCCTTCCTCATTAATCTCTTGCTTAGATTTCTAATAAAGAGAGGGAAACGTTAGGGTTAACATTATCTAAATTTAGGCTTACCTAAATTTGACAAAAATACATAAAAGTCAAGTCTATGTAAGCCAAATATTGCCGCAAAACGAAGCAATTACATGGTTATTTATATAGCCTTGCATGTACATAAACACTAGACAAATTTGCTATTATTTTTGCTTTACCTAGTTATTAAAATTAAGACAGACTTAGCAAACTAAATCTGATGATGGTATATATTTTAAGATTTACCCAGATATTATATCCTGTTGTAGCTACTGAAAAAAGAAATCACCCATCACTTTTAGATTACTTTTTCACTGAAAGCATCCATGCCTTTGGATTCTTTATGACAGGTTCAACTAGTTAACATGAAAGCACCGATTTGCAGCTCTTTCCTTAATAAGTAATTTTAGTGGCCTGTGACCCTCCTATCCATTTGTTTCAAGTTAAGTATGTATCAAAAGATACTGTGAATGGAGTTAATAAGAGAATATAGTCATTAAACTTCAGCTAAGCAATGGCAACGTTCTCTAGTTAGTTCTAGTAGTAATATCCTTTGTTGTATGCTTATTACAGTAATATATTGCTGTAAACAAACCACAAACAAATGGCCTGATAGAATTATTCTTGGAGAGGAGAGCCAATTGCTGCAAACAAACATATTTATTCTAACTTATTTTTATGGTTAAATATCAGTAATTTACACGCTGGCCTCATTTACTCCAGAAGATAAATTGGAAAATGGGGATCCAATAAATATTTGTAATAAATCATACCTGTTTCAGCCTTTCTTTTGCCTGTGTAATTTTCTTCCTCAGCCATTTACAGCGAGCTGTGACAATAGCTGTATGTCCTCGGACTCTCTCTTCTTTCTGTCAGAAATAGGGAGACAGCATGGAAAAGGAATTGCAGGATTTTGCTGATCACTGAACATTAAAAATGCTATATATTGGAAATTTAGCCTATATATAATATATAATATATAATATTTGCTCCTGGAAGCACGAAGCCGAGAACACCAGCCTGAAGATGACGAATGAGACTTCGTCGAAACGTCGCCAAGACACTTCCAATTTTACGTGGGAGAAGACCCGAATAACCAAAGACCTACATATATATATATATATATATATATATATATACACACACACACACACACACACACACACACACACACACACACACATACATATATATATATATACACATACATACACATACATACATACATACACATACATACATACACATATAATAAGATTGTTTATTTTTAATGAAAAGGGCTGGTTTCAGTTGTTAATTTACTATGAATGGTCATTTATATGCTCTGTATCTGCACAAGATCTATTTTAGGAAGCTTCTATGACTGAAAAAATTCTGAAAGAATACCCCCCCCCATTTTCAAGAGACTAACTTCTGTTCAGTTCTTTAATATATATTTATTATGTTTTATCAATAGGAAAAAAATATAAAACAGAAAAAAACAGAAAAAAACATACATCCAACAGTAACAGCAAAAAAGGAAAAATTCAGTTCTCATTTAATAAAGCAGCAATTATAAAACTGAAGCAAAGTAGAAAACTGATGAGTAACAACTTTAAACATATAGAGAAGTGGTTGGCTTTTCTTTCATGTTCTCTGATAATTATGGATAGGGGCTGAAAGAAAAATTCACTTCTCCAGTGGATGAACAGATATTACTAAGCCAAATAAATGAGTATTATATAGGCTGAGAATATATAGCAAACAAGTAACATAGTTCATCTACGATCTTTATATAAGCAGAATTGATATTCTTCTGGAATCAAGATTGGTAATAATTATATTCGGAATGGAGAAACAGAACACATTTTTCACGTTCTCATCTTTCTTCTAAGCTTTTCTTTAGTTTTTCTTTATCAATATAACAGGGAAATTATACACAGCAAGACCCCTGGAAATATTCCCAAGCCCCTTATCAGCAGTTAATATAACTATATTGATAAATAACGAAGTACATAGAATATAAATAACAGATGATATATACATAAATTTCCTGTAGAGATAACTTTTCAGCCATGTCATTAGAATTCACTTACCTCCCCAAGCACAAATTCTAGATCACTGAATTGCCTGTTTTCCCATAGTCTTCCATAGTCATCATGTAAAGTACATTTTGGATAACAAGAAAACTGAAATCAAGAGTTATTGCTATGTTACAGTCTTAAATGGAAAGTTTTACTGCTATGACCAACAGTTTGGCATGAACATATTACATAAGTGTTATTAACTCTTTAATTCATTGAACCAATACAATGGTACACTATCTGGAAGATTTAACTCTCTTTGCTCTACAACATTTTCATAAGAAATAGTACCAAGAAAAACTTTGACCTAATTGATTTATGCACACATACATACATATTCATCATATTATTTCCTCTTAGGTCAGAAAATGTTATGCAGAATGCAGAAAATGGGCAATAAATAGTAGGCGAAAGAGACTAAAGGTATGAGATAAGATAAAGAAAAGGAAAGGAAACAGAAGTGTAGATCAGAGGTCCCCAAACACTGGGCTGTGACCCACTACTGGGTCAAGGCTTATTTGGAATTGGGTTGTGAGAGTGGCTGGCTGGAGTGTGCATCTGCGTGTGTAGCTCAACTTGAGCGAGTGGGAGGCTGGTCGGCACTTGTCCGTGTGTGTGTCAGTCTGCTACTTGTGCATGTTGAGCTACGTGTGTGCGTTCCGGCCTGCCACTCGTGCAAGGGCTGTCTGAGCGCCAGCCCACCGCTTGCATGGCCCAGTTCCCCTTGACCCCCCAGTTGGGCGCCAAGCCAGAAAGGTTGGGAACTGCTGGTGTAAGTGGTTTCTTGAAACACAACCATACAGAAGCAATTCTACATGGAAAAGTTATGTATATGAAATATTAGCTATTTACAACACAAACTGTTCAGAAGATCCAGGAATAAAATTAGACAGCTTGCAATGTCGGAAACTAATCAATTTTATACAAAAAGAAAAATGGTGGGAAAAGTGATGGGAGAACACAAGTTCAAATATGAAATCACATCAGCTGGATTCTAAATTTCTGCAAATGAAAATAACTCTGCTAGATCTTGATGTTTCCTTAGTGTAATAACTCTGCACTTTAACTTGTTTCTGTGACAAGTTAACATTGCTCTCAACTTGTACATTAGATCTCAACTAGCTAAAGACAGAAGGAAACTTTTCCATTATATTCCATAAAAAAAAATCATTTTTAATGTTATATATCAAACTGATCAAAAGATCATGCTCCAAAAGAGAATTCTACGCTAAATAAATACTAAATAGTAAATTTACTGTAAATAGTAAGTTGTTCACTGTCAAAACCTAAAGTAATAATCCTTCTTATATTAATCAATGACCAATACTTCAATATATTACCTGAAATCTATACATTTCTCCACTTCTGATGTTGTTATCCACTGTCCCTCCAAAGATATACATGGCATCACAGATAACAGCTGCAGCATGGAAGAGTCTTCCAGTTGGTAACTAGAAACAAAGAATACAAAATACCTTTTCCAAATATTATGGTACACAACCACAAATTTAGTTTTCCTCACTGGTGCTCTGTAACTAATATTTTCTAATCTAAAATCAGTTTCAAGCCCTAAGATTCAACACAACTGTGTGGGAAATACAGCACATATATGCTGATCCACCACCATATATAGATATACTATTGTATACAGGTCAGTTCATACTTAAAAAGAAGTGTCTTTTTAATACAGACAAAGAAAAAGAGAAAAAAAATCTCTCAATCCAACATCAAACCAAGGAAAATTATCAGATCACTTAGTATCTTAGTATTCATAAGAAAGAGTGGGTATATTCCCGAAGTGTAAAACCCTCACTTTGTTTACCACTTCACAATGCTCCACCTCTCACCAGTAGACTAGCTGTGATTAAATGCCCCTTTTACCCAATTATTCACATATATACCCCCCACATTGTATAACATTCATTTCCTTAATGGATCTAACAAGCTTACAAACGTGCAATAAAACAACAAACGTTAAAACAAAACATAATAAAATTAAACTAAACATTTAACATATTCAACATCAAAATACCAGAACACTAAAAGGTCTGAGTGAATAAGTATTTTTATTTCTTCCTAAGCTGTAATATAATAATCTTTTTAAAATTCTAGTGGTAATTTGTCCCATGTTTAATAACAGTATTTATACTATTTACACTATTTCTTTCTCCCTTATAATTCTCTCTCTCATATATGAAATCAATTTGTTAAATCAGAGATTTTGCAAAGGCAAATAATTATATTTTTACCTCACTATCCGGACTTGGCTGGATAACTTCCCATGTCTGAGAGTCAACATCATAGCAATGAAGTTCATTAGGCAATGTATTGTCTGCAGCACCACCAAACACATAGAGATGGCGATCAAAAGCAACCATCGTGTGACCATATCTCCTTTGGGGAGGAGGTGGAGAGCCCCGTAGTAAGTGTTCAGTAGGGATTCGTGTCCAACTAATATTTTAAAAAACAAACAGTATTTATTAATTGAATTTTAGAGTTTCAGTTTCTAAAGCAGGAATGCACAAAGCTGCATCCAAATCCTACAACTCCTCTAACAGTTGTCATGTTTCACAGAAAGGAAAATTATTATTTCAAGAATAATCCCAATGTATTATTTCATGTATTTAGGGTAATAAAAATTGGTTTAAATTTAGATTTACATCTAGATTAAGTAATATTTAGTTTTTGCCATGACTTCACCAAGTCAAAGCTGAATTCTGGTCCTTACTCTGAAATGCTGTGCACCTCGTTTTAAAGAAATTTATGAAGCAAATCACATCTTCCTTTGTATATTTGACTGGTTGTTACTATCTATAATTTCTCCCTTTTTTATGTGTACAAAATATTTCGCAAATTGTTATCCTGCTTATCAGCTAATCAAAGTCTTGGATACAATCCTCAACTAGGTAATAAGCACATTAAATAGGAATTACTTCTAACCATATACATTTTTGTTGCTCTCTTTTGATTTCCTTAAACTGAACACATAACATTTTAGTTGAATTTACAATTAATGCATCCTTTTTACATTTTGCTGTGTTTAAATGTTAATTATAAATGATTATAATAGGTTTTACAACAGGATCCTTTAATCTGTTTTCATAAATAACACAGAAATACAATTCAGTCCATCACTCTGTAGAATGTTTGCCCTGATAAGACAAAATAAGCTACTCCACTTTATATTTCAGAAATCAACTTGATGGAGCATCCTACCAGTATATATAATGTAATTTCATAATGGTCTAATAAAGAGATTCAGATAGGGTTGTTTTTTGGGGGGGGTCCATTACAATTTGTATACTGATAATGAATAATTCATTCATAATAAAAATAATTCAAGCAAATGCCTTATTGAAACAGTAAAGCTAAATCCATGTAGGTTGATTGCTTTAATATATATAACAACAGAAATACAGAAGTAATCAATATACATTCATACTTAAATGTTATAGTCTACTCATGTGACCCAGTCTGATGTTGCAGTTAAGCCAGCAGGCTGAAAACTGGGAGACCATGAGTTCTAGTCCCACAAAGGGAGATGGGTGACCTTGGGCCTGTCATTCTCTCATACTTTAGGAAGCAGTAGTAGCAAACTACTTTCAAAAAAACTTGCAAAGGAAATTGCAGGGAATTGTCCAGGCAGTCACCAGGAGACAAAAACAGAATTGAAAGCATACACACACCTCTCAAAGCCCTCTCCTGATTTTCATTTTCAGTAGCATTTTCTTCAATGTCTCCATTGAACTTTATGACAATTTTCTCCTGGAGATAACTTATAGAAATGCATTTATTTATTAAACATATTTCTATGCTATTGCGATCAAAATGACTCTTGGCATTTTACAAAGAAAAAAATATAATGTAAGAGATAGCATAAAAAATAAAAACACAATAGCATCACAACAATACTAAGAAGTTAGAATAAAAAGAGGGCAACATCAAATCAAATCAAATCAAATCAAATCAGGGGAATGCTTTTCAAATCATTTTTCAAAATATAATTTACTATATAAATTATACTTTACTATAATTTGAATTATAGTAAACATTTCCACTAGATTAAATTCAAGATACTCATTTTTAAACTTATTTGATTTTGCTCAGTTATATTTCATACATACATTTTTTCTTTGAATTCGAACTGAAAAAGGTTATTGGTAATCTTTGCTCCACTCTGGCCAGAAAAAACAAACATACTTTCTTTGCAGACAGCTACAGGAAAATTACAGCATGAAGGAGGAATCTCACCAGTTTGTTTAATCTGAAAAGCAATACCACAAAATAAATTGCAATAAATTGTGTTGAGACCTGTAATCTAAGTATTTCTGTAGATCTATTTATTATATATTCATTATCTATAGAGATTCTCAGTCATTCAGGTCATGGTTGTCCCAAAGGTGCTTTTTCAAGAGGCAACTGGACTTTCTGATTTTTCTTTGAAGACGTTTCACTTCTCATCCAAGAAGCTTCTTCAGCTCTGACTGGATGGCGGGGAACATTCACCACTATCCAGTCAGAGCTATAGATTCATTCTTAATTTGAAGGCTGAAATGTATTGTGATTTGTTCATACTATCAAAAAATAAACGACTAAACTTTTAAAAACCAGATACTAAAAGCTCAACAATTTGGGTTACCTACAATATCTATGTACCCTTGCTAAAAGTAAAAATACAATTAATAAGCCTACTCCTGAAAAATGAGGATCTCAGTCTTAAATTATCTAAAGTATAATCTAGCAGAAACAATATAATTTAAATATAAAGAATTGCACACAGTTAGAACTATACATCCAATACTTTGTTCAAATATATTTCTGAAATATTGACAATTGTTGAATTAGAAATATCCATTCACCCTTCCCTCACAATCCATCTCTAAATAGATTAACCTCAACTCTCATTGAGGAATATTTTGATCCAACTTTTAACAATATTAAGGTAATGTCTTACCTCTTCCCAACACGTTAAATCTCTGTCTTGTAAGCTAATAGTCCACATGTCATTTAATCTGTATTGAAGGAAAATACAACTTTTAATATACTTTTAGGAATTTAACAGTAACAGCACAATCTATTTTATGTGAAGGAAAATTTCCAATCCAAAACCCTAATAGATATTAGAATTGAACATACATTAAAAGTTCCTCAACACCATAAAATGCTAATTTCAGCAATAGAAATTCAAGGAGACTGTGGGATTTGGGGGCCAAAAGGAGTGCAATGTGTAACCTACAATCCCTGTTACCCACTGTCATTATAAGCAATTGTCATAGCCAGAGCTCCAAGACATAGGGCCTGAATTTTGCCTCAGAGATTATTTCTCATCTTCTCTTCCACATTGGAAAATTAATCCATAGAGAATCTGAGGGGGCTTTTTGAAATGGGTTCCATTTTTTAGTGTAAGGAACTGATTCCAAGCTCCTAAAATATGTTTAAACATTCAAAATTTCAATCATCTATATCCTAAATTACCCTTCATGAATTTATTTTGGATTAGGAAAGAATTATATTGGAAAGACAAGCAACTAGGTATTGGAGGTCAGGGAGACAGTGAAGAACTTACTGTAATATTTGGTCAAACCAGGTTTGGCCAAATATTATTCTTGAGAAAAAAGGCTCCAGAAAATGGAAGCACGTTTTTCCAATGAAGAAATGTATGTTAGAACTAAGCTCATATAATTTATTTCATTTAAATTGCTCAATAAACTGCAAATTAGGTCTTCTTAATTATGAATTTCTGAATATCATAATAAACCAATGGTAAACTAAAATACTAATAAAGGCACGTAAGTAAATCTAACTTCATCCTATCACATCAAGAGTCTTGAGTTGTCTTATAATTATTAATAAAAATAATCATAGCCTTATGACAAATAATGTACCTTACCGTGCATTTCCATCATATCCTGCAAAGATCCACAGTTTATCACTATAGACGGTTGCACCATGAGCTGACCGAGCAACTGGTAATCTAAAGACAAATTTATCAGTATCTTAACTGCTAATACAGTTACACAAGTATGATAAAAAGCTGCTTATTACATACCTAAATGAATGAATACTATCAAAATTTAACTATTTGGGGAATAGTTAAGTTTTAGTACAGAATATCAGATACTTTTTCTGGCTACATGCTATAAGAATTTTTTACTAGTACACAATAAATTTGGACCAACCTGCAAAATATCTCTGACCTGGATGATATATATTAATTAGATTTGATGATGAGCATATGTTTTACCTTATCTATATTATTTATTTATTATTCTTTTAATTTTATATTATCTGGCCAAAATTGCTTTGGATGGATGGAGGAATGGATGGTTTGGAGGGATAAATAATTTAAATCTCAAGATTTTGGTATTCGTAGTTTTATGAGAGTGTAAAAACAAACCAACACATTAAAAACTCCAAATTCTCTTTCAGGCTAAGCAAAGTATAATTCAGTTACAGTTTCCCATCAAGAAAAAAGCAACAGTTAATTGAATGTTTCTTCTTTCTGAATTAATGAAGTCAACCATAGAAGTAAGGTTTTACGTTTACTTACTAAGTATATAAATCAAGGACTGGCACTTTTTAACAGCCTTATCTTTTAATTTTAGTTTGATTTGACATCCTGACTAAATAAAAACAATTGTTCTTTATTTAGCTTTATCTGTAAATATAGCCACTGATTTTTTTTAGGCAAAAGGATTGAAAGAAGACTGCTACTGTGGTGGGTTTAATGTTATTACTGTTTATCAACTGGGAAGGGCTAAAATTTTTAAATCTCTAGACCACTTTGCAGCCTTCACAATTATATATAAAATTACTACTCTGAGTACTGCTCTATGAATCTGCGCTTTTTACAGGTTTGTGTAATAATACATATACACTCTTACCTTCCTTCAATCTTCCATTCTGTCCATTGGCCTGTTGCAAGTTTATATTCAAAAAGATCATTTTTGTTCTTCAAGTTGGAATTGGAATATATATCTCCAGTGTAGCCACCTACATGATGATAATGATATAATAAAAGAGATGGTTTGTACAATTTGATAATAAAGAAGTTATTATTTATAACAAAAAATATGATTACACAAAGCAAACCAATTAATGTCTTTACAGTTCATAAGAAACATATATGATATCCAGAACTTGTCATGTCTACTTTGTGCAATGTATACTTATTTTTTATTTACTGGTATGCTTTGCATTATGTCAGATTCCTGCACTATTTTCATACTGTTAGTTTTTAAACTTATCTTATTCCATATTGTTTTCAGACTTTGCTTACATTCATGAATTGATAACATTTATCAATTATTTTTCTGTCAGTGCTATATAGGTTTGTTGTTAACTCCTCATGCTAATTCACTAAGATTGCTAAATTACGCAGAGAACTTGGTTAGCTTTCTGATAACTCACCAAATACAAACATGCTGCTTCCATAAACTACTGCTGAGTGGTGATACCTTGGTGCTGGTGGAGTCCCAGTAGTAAAAGCCCTATGCAGGATAATATACAACAATACGTAGAAATAAAAAAAAATAGGCTTAATTAATATGGTACTTTAATGAAAGGACATGAAAATGTTGATTGTGTGTATTTTTAACTTAATGTCAAATTGGCCAAATTGGCCAAAACAAAACAAGTACAGATCAGCAAGGGTTTTCAGATCGCCTGCCATATAACAAAAAGTTCTTTGGATTTACATCCTAGAACAAAAGAGGAAATATTTTCATTTAACAACACTGGTAATAAAATAGAGATATAGACATCCTTTGAAAGGAATACTTCAAAATGCATGGCAGCATGTATGAAACAGATATTTTTAAAATACTAAAGCTGCTGTGCTTTTTCCAAATGTATGTAGCTCCTTTGGAAGCCACCTCCAATTGTCTCTACAAAAGGGCACAATGTAGATATTTTGCTTTGTATGTTTTCCAGCTCTATTAAAATAATTTTACTAGTCTAAGAATAAGATGGTAGATAGGTAGGTAGAGCACTATATTTCATATTTAAATTAGCAATATTAATTCTTACATATTTTATGAATTTGCCAGTTATATACTATTGCTCCTGTATATAACCTATGAAAACTTTGAATATTTGTTCAGAAGGAATTTGGGCATATCACACTTCCTAAAATTCTGTGGTAGTCTAATTTATTTTGTTACTATTATAAAACCTACAATCCTGAATATATTTAGTATATTTATATAAATGTATTTAAAATTATATGCTCATTCTGTTATTCTTCTTTAAAATGATTCAAAACTTTTCTTCTTCCTAACATGCCTTACCAATAATTTAACTTATTTTGACACCAAATCAAAACAGACAACAATAAAGTATATTGCTATCATGAAAAATAAATAATTTCTCATTTTGTCAAATATTCATGTTCCAATTCACTCAAATATTGATAATATGGGATATTTATTAGAAATGGAAAAGTACCTGCACCAAGAGCAGTCCTTCACATCAAATCTTAACAAGTCATTCAACATAGTTTTCCTTCAAAGGGAAACAATACATAAATATATATTAAGAAGCCACCAAAAAAATAAAAAATAAAGTTTATAGGTGAAAGAAATTTACTCAGCTAAAATCTATCTATTACTTGGTTTCTAACTATTTTTAAATCAAATGAGAGAAAAACAGTAACTTCTTTAACAATTATATTAGGATAAATTTTACAAATAAATATAATTAATGGAAACAGCAGATATTTATAAGTTGAAATTTTGCTTGTTCATGCTTGTTTCCTTAATGCCTCAAGCAAATGTCTTATTTATGTTTTTAATAATTTGCTTTTAAAATGACACAGTACTGATTCAATAAAGACTGCACATATTTGGTAATAACACTACCATTCTTTTCTTTGAAAGCTGTAAATGGTACGATGGCATAAACCCCTTAGCAAAACTTCTTTCATTTGCTATTACATAGGAATTGTTTTTATATCAACCATCATAAAAGCAACCACTGTGAACTAGACAAAGTGAAACATATCCCCAACTATTACAAAGTTGATGCAAATAAAACTGCTATTCCATTGTCCCTTCCCAAAGAGGCAACCTTAGAAATTTTATATATGTTTTATATATATAATTTTACCACAGAAGTAAGGTTTTACATTTACTGTATCTCCATTTTAGAAAACCTTGTCTGGAAGAAACTTTTTGTGTGCCACTGTTAAAGTGAACCATGTTAGGGAGCGGAGAAGCGCAAAAAGGAGCCAGCATTTGTTTTGCTTGTGGGGACAGGTGGGGCTACAACCAAGGGGAGGAACGTAGGGAGACTCACCCGTTATCCCCACCAAAGACGTAGATGGCATCTCGATAAGCCACCACGGTGTGTTTGCTACGGCTGGAAAGAAAAGAGGAGACAACTTTGGTCTACATCCCTTCCCTAAATCCGCCCTCCGGTCCGGCATTTCATCGGTGGCTCTGTTTAGCCCAACACCGAGCCGAGCTCCCCGCAGACCCCCGAGACGCCTCACCGAGCCCCGACGAATTCATCGCAGGGCGGGAGGCGGCGCCACCGGTGCACCGTCTCGAAAGGCCCGAAATTCAGAGTCAGGTATTCGACGCTGTCGGAGCAGCTATGATCAAAATCTACGCTGGGCGCCACCTTGGAACGACCGCCCGAGTTGGCCGCAGCCGCCATGGCCCGGCTTTTGCTGCCGAGAAGAAAATCCGCGAGAGAACATCGATCAAGGCCGAACGTCAAACTACAACTCCCGACATCCCACGGCCCCTCCGGCACCGTTTCTTATTCGGAAATCCGACTACAATTCCCAGCATGCCATATACTTCCTGCAGCAGCATTTTCAAGGGTGGTTTTATAGTTTGTATTTTAACTATGGATTTTAATCAGAGCGTGGTTTTGATTATTGAGTCGCACACACCCTTTCGAAGTACGTGTTTCAATTATGATATAACGTGGCAACGGCAGCCAAAAGTTCAAGACAAAAAAAAAAAAAAAGCAAACTTATATATTAAAATTGGGATTCAGGCAGCCCAGGATGGACGTAATAGCGTAATGATCAGTTTTTCCAATATGAATTAAGACGTAACATTTTGTTAAGCAGGAGGGGGGAAATCTATAAACCTTTAGAGACAGTTCACTTTCCCAACTTTTTTGAAGAGATGTCAAAAAGACCATGTCGAATGTGAAAAAACATCAAACTTAAACAACTATTGTTTGCCTTTTCAAATGAAGGCAATGAAAGCATTACTTGAACAGAATTTAATCAAAGGGAGTGATCAAAAGTAAGAAAATTAATTTGTCTATTAGTCTTGACTCATCTGTCTTCCTTGATGCATTTTTTACGACATAAAAGTGCTTATCATTTTTCACTACATAAAAAGTATGGTGAATGTATTCAGCATGGACACGCACTTAAATGTTTGTAACTTTTGTCAAGGAAACAAAGCGGGACTTGCTAGAACCGTTGATATTACTCAAAATTCAAGAATTTCATATTTTGTATCAATAAGCTATATATTCCCAAGAACATTTCTTCCCAGGAATGGTATGTTTTTCATCTAACAGTAGCAAGGTAAAACTGTTATGAATAGGATACGGCAGAAAATGATAAAAACCAAGTTGACACTAGACATTTCTATCAATATTATGCTGTTCACTTATATATTTAACTTATATATTTCTATATATATTGCAAGTTAATCTTCATCCTTACTATAGCTATCAAATCATTTTATTTGAAGTATACATTCTCTAGATACTTTTATTTTATATAAAAACTTTGTATAAAATATTTATATAAGAAAACAAAAGTCTATTTATGTATGAAATAATCTATGGGACAAAAATGGCAGACCTCACTCAGAAGCACTATAGAACTCAAAAGGGATAAACCCACAAATTGTTTTAATATGACAACTCAATTACTGCAGCAGCATAGGAAACTGACAAGGCATCAAGTTACAAAGTACATGTAAAAAACAACCAAATATTTAAGAGCTGGAAAGTTTCACTTTACTGGGTATGTTGAAACGGAAGCTGGACTTTTGTTGTTTTTTGATCAGCTAAATCAATGATGCTGTCTTATGAATGGAGCAGCATTTTTTTCCTCATTATTTAAATACATAAATGTACAGGTATTATTCTATGCAAATAGAATAAAGAGCAATGTTTGTACATTTATAGTTTTTATTTTATGTCATAAGACAAAATATTTATAAATAGCAATAACCCATTCTAAAAGTACTTTTGATCTTATGAAATATTTGCTCTTATGTATATAAAATCAAGAATATCTTTTAAACAATATGGTTTATTAATTTTAAAAAAGGGGAAGCTACTTGCATTTTCTTGATTAAAGTTTGACGTAGTTATTCAAGTATCCAGTATTTATTATAGCAATAATAATGAGGTAGTCTTATGTTCATCTTAGTAAATAAAGGTAAACTATAAATAAATACAAGTAATTTTTATATTAGTAAAGTTAAATGATAACCATGAAGCCTTTTCTGGTACCCTAGTAATGGTTTTAATGTCATAAATAATAAAGATATACTTTTATGCACTTCAGATCCAAGATGAAAATATTTTTGCTGTTCTTTTATTTAAAATACTTGTTTTTTATGGTACACTTTTGAAATCCTGAAAGTTAGGAAATAACAGGGCAGACGATTTTAAATGAAAAAGATTTTATAATACTCGGACTTTTGCATTACAAATTCCCAAGCTGTCCACTTTGAGAGGAAAAAACCTTAAGGCATCTATTTTATCTGTTTGCCCAAATATTTTGCTGAGAGAATAGAAACAAAAATTAATAAGTTGTGTCATAGTTTTTGGAACTGTCCTATAAAAAATAGTGTCAGCACATCAGATAAATTATTATATTCCAAATTCAGTTTCAAGTTAAAAGGATTTCTAAATGATCACTATCATTATAATTAACATTTCCAATCAAGCTAAAAGGGTTTTAATTCCAATGATAATGGACAAGAATTCTCTTTCAGTGTCCACATAAAAATATATTAGTAATTTAATTATATTAAACATCCTAAATCAGAAATCATTAAAGACATTTTCTTAGGCCTAAATTTGTGGTATGCTAAAATTGAGCTTCTATTAGATTTACTTCATTCATATGAGGGAAATACTTACATAGTTACCTTCATACATATTATCTTTTTCAAGGAAGTCAGGGATACACTATGTGTCTAATGTAACTCTGTGCAAGTCCTGGCTTTTTCATGAGCCAGAAATACTGATGTAATAGGCATTTCACAGAAATAAATTTCTTATAGTATTAACACTTCAAACAGTTTGAAATCAACACAGATTAATTAATGTAACAGTACACATTAAACAGAAAGTTGCTTTCCAAATCTATACAGAAATACAGTATTCTAAGTACTAATTAAAAGCAAAGGGTACCATTTTCTTTTCTGAATTTTAAAAAGAACAATACCAATTTATGTTTGAATAGTTTTATTTCATTTCCCAAAAAGGGAGAAAAAGGCAAAAAGGTGTTGGGAGATGCATTGGTGTACTGACTTTTAGAGTAACCAGCAATATTAATTTTACTACCCTATAAAAAATACTTGTACTAATTTGTGAACTATGGTTTAGCCAGTTGTATAATCCTGTGTGTGAACAAAGCAAACAGTTTTGGAGAAATGGGTTCGTGAAGTAAATAAACAAGTTAAATACAATCAGTTTCATATAAAAAAAGTTTGGTTTCTAAACAAAAGTCATCAGTAACCACAGGAACTGAGTTTTAATGTAGCAAGTCTGCTCAATATGGGTGCATGATAGTTTTAGTACAGAATTATGAAATGGTAGAACCCCAAAGGTTTTCTATAAATGGAAACAATTTAGCATTTTTATTTTTCAGGTTTTAATTCAAAGTATTGGACTGGAAGCAGATTCCATTTCATTCCATATGTCTATATAAAAAATGTCATCTGGTTAGATCAAGATAATATACCCTGCGTAACAAAAGTGTGAAGCGCTTCCAAGTTTCTAGATAAACAAGCTAGTGACAACAGTTCCTTCCTCATTTCATTAAACTGTGCTGTAAAAAGTCAGTGAAGTGCTTTTTCAGTAGAGGAAAAAATGTTTAGAGCCAAACTGGAAAGTTTATCAGAAGAATAGTGTTCCCATTGTGCGAATTCAGAATGCAAAAACTCCATGCATATTTGCCTTTTGTCGCCTTCTAAATCACGAGCAGTACTTCCAAATAAAAATTAATCATATTTGTAATATTTTATGAATAAAGAAACTGTTCCTTGTTTAGGTCAAAAATATGAACTAAACCAGAAAATGTTGCCTAGATATTATCACGATATTCTGGATTTATATGCCAATGGTCTGAAGAACTCTTCTTTCATTTTCATTGAGATGGTCTGAGAACATTGCATAGCAAGGCTGCTGGGCAAACTGGCATAAGAATTCTGTAAGATAAGCCTAGGAGAAAGAAAATACATTGTTAATACCTGAATAGAAGAGAAATACATGGTTAATAGTTGATGGGAAAAAAACATCATAAATCCAGGGTAATGGAGTCGTAGTTTATATTAAAGTTGTTAAAGGATTTGTGATGTAATTTACAAAGCAGAATCAAAATATGGGTTTAAGAATGAGTACAGAATTTCTGCAACAAACTTTTTTAAAATTTGGGATTAAGGCACTAATCTCAATCACCTACAGTGAATGGCAGCACATCTTTTTATTCAATACTGGTAGTCCTTGACGTACAACCACAATGAAGCCCCAAATTTATGTTGCTAAGTGAGGCATTTGTTAAATGAGTTTTGTCCCACTTTACAACTTTTCTTGTCATAGTTGTTTATTTATTTTATTTATTGGTTCAATTTATATGCCGGCCTTCTCTGGAGACTCAGGCGGCTTACAATGCAGGCTTTCGCCCCCCCCCCAAAAGCGGTGTTCTTTTTTATACAGTCAGCTTATTGCCCCCACAATCCGGGTCCTCATTTTACCTACCTCGAAAGGATGGAAGGCTGAGTCAACCTTGAGCCTGGTGAGATTTGAACTTGCAGTAATTGCAGGCAGCTGGTGCTATTTAACAGCACTTTAGTCTGCTACGCCACCAAGGCTCTTCTGTTATGTGAATCACTGCAGTTGTTAAATTAGAAACCCGCTTCTTAAGTGAATTTAGTTTCCCCATTGACTTTGTCAGAAGGTTGCAAAAATTGATCACATGACCCTGGGACACTGTAAACATCATAAATATGAGTCAGTTGCCAAGCATCTGAATTTTGATTACATGACCATGGGGATGTTGCAACAGTCGTTAGTGTGAAAAACAGTCATAAGTCACTTTTTCAGTGCTATTATAACTTTAAATGGTCACTAAACAAACTGCTGTATGTCGAGGACTACTTGTAAGGCAGAACATATTTATTCTGAATTGCATCAGAGATTCAGTTCAAACTGTGTCCAGGATTATAGCTTTAATTTCAATGTGTTTGAAAACTATGAGTAGTGTCAAGAGAACAATCTCATCAGCTTTACAATAATGTTAACTGTTGGTCTATTTCCTGTTGTAACTCAAAGAAATATTATATTTGAGAAGAACACTTATTTCTGATTAACTTGCACAGAGAATGGAAAATTCTTCTCCATAGTATTTGTTCTTGGAGACAAGTCATGAATAACAAGATATTTTCTTCTTCAGATGTTTTTTTTTTATTATTCTCTTTCCAAATTATTTACCAGAATAATTCTTGAACTCACAAGAAGGCTTTCTTTTACAGCGTGTTTCCCTGGACACAATGGCGAGGAAAGCAATGGAGCTTGAAAGGTAAGACCTGTGTCCCGCTCCTCGCCCATCCCACCTGCCACCCCCAAACTGCATCCCTAAAGGGGGCGGATGGCTAAGCAAGGGCGAGGGGGGGAAAAGAGACATCAAGGGGAACCAGGTCTCGTTCCACGCGTCTCACTTCTCCCCCACCCAATCTGCCACCCCTCTCGATAAAGAGACGGCGGGGAAGGGAAGCAGCTGTTGCCTTTGGGGTAGGGTGGGACGTGTTGGGCTGCTTGGCCGGTGCGAAGAACAGGGTGGGGAGGCAATGGCAGAGACGGAACATCCAGTCCCATGCTCGCAGCCTCCTGCATCCCCAAAATAATAAGACCCCCCGATAATAAGGCCAAGCCCTTATTTGGGGGGGTCAAAAGAAAATAACACCCTGTCTTATTTTCAGGGAAACACGGTAGTCATAATTATGGTTGTAAGCCGAGAACTACCTTTATACTATTTCAATATTTTATTCATTTCTTAAAATTTAACACACTAGAATAAACTAACTTCCATTTGGAAAGCTTTTGATTCTAATAAATGTAAATTTTCTTATCTGCAATAGGTCCAATATTAAGATTTCTTGTATCCCACCTTTATTATGTTTACAAATACCTCAAGGTGGTGAATATATCCAATACACTTTCCTCCTAATATTCTCCCACAACAATCAACTTGTGAGGTGAATTGGGCTGAGAGAAAGTGGCTGGCCCAAAGTCACCCAGCTGGCTTTCATGATTAATGTAGAACTTCAACTCATAGTCCCCTACTTTCTATCCTGGAGCCTTATTAGACTAAACTGGCTCTCAAACTGGATGTGAAATTATTAAGACACTTGCCAGAATTAACAAACAAGCAAACAATGGAATGAAAGAGAATATAGAGAAGGGAAAGGTAGATTATCTAAGGTTTCCCATGCCTAAAATGGGAAGAGATTCTCTATATAACTTCTCAATCCTAAAGAAATCAAAGACGCTCAACTGAATTATTTAAATTCTTTTCTAACTAAAGTCAATTTCTCATCAGCTGCAAAGATAAACATTTACATATGATTTTTTAATTATATTATATATGGCTACATCTTTCTATTTTGCATATGAGCCTCTTCAAACTAGGCTATTTGATTCTTGTTTACTTCCCTTATGTAAGAATAACAGATAAAATTTAGGGGCCTTGCAGCATCCGATTTTAAGCAATTCTGAGTCCTAAAGTACAGACTCACTGCATTCAGAATAACACTTTTTCTTGGCTTAGTCACCACAACCATCAGAATGGGATCTCCAATTGCTTTCTGCTACAAGATTTAAACTGCTTTGCTTTTAAAGAAAAATTGAGCACTGTGTTCTGTCCTGTCTCTTGCTATTAGTGTACATATTGTGAAATATCTTTAGATTCATAAATGATACTGCTCCTTATCATGGTGTTGCTTTAAAAAACCCATTTGTGATACCATTTTAAAAACAGATATGATATATAATATATAATATTATTCTAGATCAGGGTGTCAAAACTCGCGGCCCGCAGGCTGGATGAGTCACTCGCTGGCCATGCCTATCCCCAGTTTAGCAAAGGGGGGGAAAGTTGTAATACATCACGTGACAACATGTTGTTTGTGAGTTTGACACCCCTGTTCTAGATGGTGACGTTTCAAAGTACAAATGAATACATAATGTTAGACTGCAAGATACACCACCTGTAAATCTATCTGATACAGAGGATCCTTCAATGAATCTGGATCATCCTCATCATCATCTTCATAATAATCTTCATCTGTCAAGCAAATATGTTTCAAAGTGAAGTTGATGCATACTTAAAGAACTGAAATCTTAAACTTCTTATACTTTCTTTGCACTACAATAAACTGCTGTTTTCTTTTTAGACATTGAATAAATCAGTAAATAACAAAACAAACCAGAATTATTAATAATCCTATTTCCAAACTAAACAGTGAATGTATTTGGATTCTGTTTCTTCTCTTTATTTAACCATCTACTATTTAACAGCAACAATATATATCTAAAAGTGGCATAAACATGACCACTTTGTTATGTCATCATAACAAAAGTTTTATTTCCATTCCTAAAACTACAATAGTAAGAATTGACAATGAATAGACACATTTTTGTGAACTCTTTTCTCCAATCCAATTTTCAATCTACTTCTAAAGCTTCTCAGAAATGGTAGATAAAATAAGAAACAAACATGATTCAGTTTTTTTACTTTTAATACAAAAGAATGAATTCCTACATATAGGACTCAAATATCATGTTTAACAACAATCCTAGCCAAACCTTCTGTTTAACATGCTAAACAGAAATCTTTTTCAAGCAGAATCACTGAATCATGAAAGTCTTAATTTATCCAGATATAGGTCATCCACTTCACTTACTATTTATCTTTTGAACACATGCAGCTTTTTTAATTTCAAAGAATATATGTTTGTGTAGGCATCGTGGGAGAGTTGCTCAATTTGTGTGTTTCTTGGAACGGATTTAGAAATGGAACCAACGTGTCTAGTTACCCATACTGAAATTATTGTATTGAAATAGGGAACAAACAAATCCTAACAGTTTAGTCATATACATTATTGTTGCTTTGATTTCAAAAAAAATTAATAAGCTTTTTATGCTTTTTCACAAATTTAAAACTGATTCACTTACCATATTTATTGGTGGCAAGAATATCTGATAATAGCTGGCCCGTTAACCCTTCATTCTCTTCTTCCTCTTCATCTTCTTGATCTTCCCACATATCATTGGATTCCTCTGTTAATTGAAATAAGAAATTAAACTTGCAGAACAGATTGATTTAATTTTATTGACTGTCTGCTGTAATATTCTCTGAAAAACAAATGTTAACATTTTTGTCCCCAAGTAAATTTTATTTACGCATTGTAGTAATCTGTTATCCCACTGAAAATTGATTCCTTTACTGTAAACATTTGTGGTCATTAACTCAGTAAATTGACCCAGAACATAAGGCAAACTTTTATATAAGAGACTGTAAAAGGAAAAGAATTCACATTATGAACACATGACTACTAATCTGAATGCCCAATACAGTATTTTTTTTTTTTTGCAACCTTGCTCACATTCTGTTGGTACTCATGCAATGCTGTGAACATTGTTTACATTATGTACTATAGCAGCATGTCATATATTTATATATTTTATTAATTTTATACTATAGCTTTTTCTCCCACAATCACCATAACCAGCTTTTTCTCCTGTAATCAGGAGAAATAACCCATAACCACTAATTGAAAATCATCAGTACAACAGTGATTAATCCATGGCTGAGTGTATTTCGACTTTCCAAACCTATATTCCATGCAAGTTGGATCATAAGATACCTAGCAAGATAGTACCTTGGCTCCATTCTGCAGCAGTCTGTCGAGAAGCATTTGCTTCTATTGCATTAGAAAGCTCATTTATTATCAGCTTTAAGATTTTAACTAACAAAGGAATGTTGGTCCAGCGCTCAGGATCTAAAAGATACCAAAAATTGCAGATTTTAAAAGAAATTAAGAACTCTGAGAAACCACAATGCAAAACCAGTTGGAGAAGCGCTTCATGTTTTATTAGCCTTAGAAGTATGTTTTTGAAATACTTTATTCTTATTTATTAATTCAATTTGTATGCCGCCCCTCTCCGAAGACTCAGGGCATATTTTATTAAAAGCCAGTAATAGTTTAACTCCTCTTGGTGCACACATGCATACACACGCATGCACGCACGCATGCATGCACACACACATACACACACAAATACAGCAGGATCAGAGAACCTATTGTTCTGGGACCCTGACAATAACTGCCTGGCTATAGGTAGTCCTCATTTAGTGTCCACAAGTGGGCTGGCAACTACGTTGTTAAGTGAAGTGGTCTCTAAGAGAAACTGACTATTCTCACAAAGTTACTTCAGCTTTCCTTTGTTTTACAGATCTGCAAAGGTTGTAAATGCGAGGATTGGTCATGAAGTTAATTTTTCATCACTGCAAATGGTCCCATGAGGTACTTGCTAAATGAGGAATATCTGTTTATGCAGATTCTTTGTATACTCATTGTTATATTTGTTATTAAAAGTTAATATTTACTCTGTCTGAACAAACATTGTCAATATCACTCTTTAACCATCTGGCTCAAAGTTAACCTTTTGCAGGCTACATATTTCAGGACATAGCAGGACATAATTTTAAAAAAAAAATAATAATAAATATTTTGTATAAGATATTTAGTACACAATAGTTTAATTGGTTCAGAAGAATAGTCAGTTACACACATGGCAAAATATTTTTTTTCCAGTCAAAAAGTTACATTGCTTTTCATGAAATTTGGACATATGTTCTGAACCTATTTTTAAATGTTCAGAATCATTTATTCTTATAAAATTAAAAATTCACTATTAGCTTTTATAAATATTTGTTTAAAATATATGTTTATAAATATTTGTTTATTGTAAGTGCAGTTGGTATGCAAATTTTAAAGGCTAAATGGAATACAGAACAGACTATTTCAATTTTTACTGAAGACTGTCTTATCTTTATCCAAAATTTCAATAGACGAATTTATCATGAAAAAATTAATTTTGGCACCAGTTACAAAATAGACCTAGTGTTAATTGTTTACTAAAGGTAACAAAGAATTAAAATTACTTTTAAGGATACATCCTGTTGATTCAGATACAAATACTCACTTTTGGCTGCTTTTGATCGTGTACGTATGCCTTCTTCCATATTAAATATTTCTTCTCCTTTTACCCTGATATCTTGAAGACGCTTGTCATCTGTACTGATACCATACTGGAGTAACTTACATAGAGCTACAGAACTGAAAATTTAAAAAATAATATATTTCATTTCATTTCATTCTACCTACAAGACATATATGCAAAAGCATAAGTGAAGATTTGCAACATTTTATTTCATTTGGACGTATAACAAAATATTTAATAGAACCTATGTCGTGATGTTTATATAATTATTTTAATAATCACATAATTTATTTTACCGCATTTTAAAAACAAAGATTAGGCAAGACTTTAAGATATTTGTCTATATTACTGTATGTGTGGTGTTCTCTGGGTACCTTCTGGCTTTTCTTTCCAATGTGCTTTTCCATAATCCCTAGTGTTTCTTCCTTTCCACCCAATTTGAAATCCCTATTACCAAGTTTACTAGCCAACACAGGACAACACTTCTACTTTCTTTTTGAATGGGTGGGCAGGATGCTTAACAAAATCCAGCCCTCTACAACTTTTGATGGATATATTCCCATTCCTTTATATAAGAGATGTTTGTGTTCTAAACAAGGCACAAATCCTTGTACAGTATGTAAAGAACTGTATAAGGTCAATTTGTCTTGAACAATTCATTATAATAAAATTACGATAAAATGCATTGCTCCTTACAGTTACTTCTTACATTCTTTAAAAAACAACTAAATACTTGTTTCAATCTATAGAAATATACACTGCAGTAACAGAAAACCTTACCTGACCTTCCCTTCATACTGTCCATAGAACAAATGTTGTCGACTCATCCACTCTGACATTACAAATTCCAGAGCAGGCTTGCCTGTTGGTCCAGGTAAACTACAAAGAAATTCTAGTAATGGTTCCAGCTGAGAATGAACTAGATGAGCAAATACCATGATCAAAGACTGCAAAAGGAATAAAAAAAAAATAATGATAGCTTCAATTTCTAAAAAGCAATCTCATGAATAAAATATTGATATCAATATTAATTTTATATATATAGTGCTTGCAAACAATTATTCTGATAATTATCATGAAATAAATATTCCAATAATTACGGTTTTCATCCATTTTACAACCTCCTTACCTGCATTACAGTGAGTGTTTCTGCTTGCTGCATTTTACTAAGAATTGCTCTGAGAATCTGATCCAGATTTTCTCCCAATTCACTCCCAACTTTGGAAATCAATGTAGAAACTAGCCTGCCTACAAAGGCAGCTGTGAATTCTGAGGTGCGTGGATCCAGAAGTTGACTCACCACCTGCATCACATACCACAGTCCATTGTGGCCTTGCTCATCATGCCACTGTGCAATTTGTTCCAGAGCGACTGAGATGTATGCACGTAAACACTCACCACCATTCTGAATAAAACATAATAATAAAGCACAAAATCTTTCATTCTAGAAAGAATTCAGATATTACAACCAAACATCTTATCACACAGGATGAAACAGTAACTGGTGATCAAAGAAAAAAAAAACCCACAATAAATCTTTTCAGATGAACTTACTCTGCTTCACTTTTTCACAAAACCCCTTTAAAGATCTAGGTACTAAGCCTGAAAAATAAAATAAACTCTACTTGGCACAATTCTTGGAAAATTACAATGTTTAGACTTCTAATCTAAACATCCAGAGGATGAAATTGACCCATGTGATGATCTAAAAAGGTGGATCGAAGGTATAATCTTATAAAATGTTATTCATTTTTTCATGCATGAATGCCTAATGTTATTCATATCCATTAGTTAAATTTAAATGCTGGCATGGTAGAAACAGGTACACAAAGAAATAAAGCCAAAATTGGTATTTTCCAGAATGTTGTTGCATTTAAACAAGTGTATTTTATCAACTTGCTTGAACAAGTGTTATTTTCCCCCTTCATTTAAGATTAGTGAAACTTGTTCAAAGTATGACAACTATCTGAAATTAAATAGCCTATCTTTAAATAGCATTTATCAGCCATATATCAACCTTTATTTTTCTGCTTTCTGTAGGCAGATACAGTTCTACAGAGGAATGATTGAGTCTGTCATCTGCACCTCTATAACTGTCTGGTTCGGTTCTGCAACCCAACAAGACAGACAAAGACTTCAGATGATAATTAGAACTGCAGAAAAAACAATTGCTACCAACCTGCCTTCCATTGAGGACCTGTATACTGCACGAGTCAAAAAGAGGGCTGTGAAAATATTTACAGACTTCTCACATCCTGGACATAAATTGTTTCAACTCCTACCCTCACACCATAACAACTAGACACAAGAACAGTTTCTTCCCAAACGCCATCACTCTGCTAAACAAATAATTCCCTCAACACTGTCAAACTATTTACTAAGTCTGCACTACTATTAATCTTCTCATCGTTCCCATCACCCATCTCCTTCCACTTATAACTGTATGACTGTAACTTTGTTGCTTGTATCCTTATGATTTATATTGATATTGTTCCTGATTGCTTATTTGTACCCTATGACAATCATTAAGTGTTGTACCTTATGATTCTTGATGAATGTATCTTTTCTTTTATGTAAACTGAGAGCATATGCACCAAGACAAATTCCTTGTGTTTCCGATCACACTTGGCCAATAAAAAATTCTATTCTATTCTATTCTATTCTATTCCATTCTATTCCATTCCATTCCATTCCATTCCATTCCATTCCATTCCATTCCATTCCATTCCATTCCATTCTATTCTGTAGCAAATCAATTACCAAAAAAGGAAGAGCAAAACAGGTAAAATTTGACAACGTTGCTGAGTATTGTAAGAGTGAGAAATAATAAAAACTACATCATGATATGATAATACACTATATTTTACATATTTGTACCCAATGTCAAGATGCAGGTACAATAGGCTGGGACTTGTGTTGTGCAGTTGCAATGCCTTTTTGTCAGCCCTATTGCATAGATGCCTATACTAATTTTTCTGCTATTAATGAAACTTAGAGAAAACTAAATTTCAGTTGTGAAAAATTTGCTTTGTGTTTAAATAATATGATAATAAAAATAAAAAAGCCATTTAAATTTCATTAATGGAATCAATTGCCATTTGCAGTCAACTTATCCCTGCATCTTAATCATCATGAATCCGGTTGGTTTAAATACAGGAACTTTATACAAATGACTGAACAGCCACTCAGAAAACATTACCTGCATGGTAGCATTGTCGTCTGTGTGCAGGCTACACTGAGCCACAGCAGGAAAAGCTTGGAAGATTAAGAGGTCCGAAAGAGGTGGTTTAGTATTTCTTACAACTGTTGTTAATATGTCTATTGAAGTCTGAAAAAGAAAATAAATCAGAGGTGATAACTAACGAGCGGGGGTGGGGGGAGATGACATGATGCAATAGTAGGATTAGTTTATCCAAAGTAATTAAAAATAATAAGCAAGTGTCATTTTGTTTTCTAAAACTTAGAAGCAACTTGTTCAAGATGACACTTCTACAACCTTCTTACCATTTGGTTGGTAAGAAGATTCATATTGTTTTCAGCTTTTCTCTGAATGTCTTGTTGTCTTGCCTCATCGAGAAATCTTGCAAATCTCTTTTTATTTTGGGAGCTGCCCAGAGTTGTTAAAAGACAGGTGGCTATGTAAGTATTTTAAGTAAATAAATAAAATATTTTTTTCTGCTTTCCACATCTATAGCTAAAATCTGAAAGTTCCATTAAACTGAATAACTTTTTAAACCTTCCCCACTTTTGTTCCTTTACTTTGAATTCACTTGTCATCTTTCTTTTATTTCCATTAATATATTACATTTCAAGAAATTACTTAAAACTATGTTCTCCTGCAAACTGCTAATTGTAACTATGGAATGCCAAATTATTACCTGATTGTCCTTTTTGCTATTAATTTAAGTATTATACTATATTAATTGCTTTAATTATACTTTCATTTTTAGACTTCTAGAATATATAAGCCTATTTAATTCTTATATTGTTTGGCTTTGCGGGGGATATCAGCTTTCATGTATTTTTCATTAGGAATTTAAGAACAAATATTTCTTTTTTTAAATCAGCAGTCAGGCTATACAAATGTTTCTATATTTTGAGAAAAATGTCTATATACTTACTGCACAAAGTCCTGCTGGAATTTTATCAACAGGAGCTTGCATGATACTGACAAGAGTTGGAATTAATCTCATCTGCATTGCATCCTGACAGGTTTCTATTTGTGCTAGTTCCTTAAAAATATCCTGGGCAAGAGAAGCGACAACTGGATCTAAATGAAGAAATGATATCAATTACTAAGGAGAAATATCCTAGTAAAATCATAATGTTATAATAAGAAAAAGCAGCCTCTAATATCACCCTGTCTACAAACAAGTATTCTA